CAGGAAGAGCTCGCTTTGCTCCCGGGAGGCTGGTGGAGTTTACCTCCCCTTCAAGGTTTTCCCTCACTTTCTTTCCCAGAGGACCAGAGGGCTGCAGGCTCCAGAGTTTTAGCGGGATCGCCCTGTGCAGCACCATCACTTCCTTTGGTGTGGGGTTAGAGGTTGCCTGCCTCTTGTCGTCTCTTCTCCGCGGCTCCTTTTCTTTGTCTAACTCGGCCCCCCCAGCATCCTCACCCCCCTTGTACCTAGAATGCTTCTGATCCCTCCCCAGTCCTCCAAGTCTGGGCTCCCCTCCGGCCCCGTCCGGGCTCTGCTCTGGGTCTCGCCCCACTCTGCCCCTCTCCCTCTCCCTCCGGATCATCTCCTCCTTCAGAACCTGCGTGTTGACCTCGCTGAATGAAAACTTGAGGGCTGCCATGTCAAAGAGCAGCCAGAGGACGGAGGCGGCGAAGATCAGCGCCAGCGCTCTCCCACTGCCGCGGAAGAGCTTCCGGAGCTTGCTCATCGCGGGGAAAGTTGGGCGCCTCCGCCGCTAAGGCCCCTGGCCCTCCGCCCGCCCCCGCTCGGGGCCTCTCTCCTTACCTAAGCAGGCGGCGGGCGGCGCGCAGCCCCCGGGCCCGGGCGGACTCCTGCATCTCGCTCCGCCAGGAGAGCCCTCCGCTCCTGCCGCCTGTTGCGCCTTGCTTGCGTGGCATTCAGAGCCAGACATCCAGGACGCGCCGGCTGCGCCCGGGCGATCCAGCCGCAGGAGAGGAGAGGAGAGGAGGAGAATCCCCACGCGGCGCCAGCCCCGGGGCCGAGGAGAGGCGCATGTTGTGCCCCCCACCCCCCCGCCGCCTTCACTCGGCGGCTCGTCGCTCCCTTCTACACGCGGCCGCCTGGAAAGGGAGGTGTGGGGCGGGGAGGCGGCGGATCAGCTGGAGAACTCGCTCTCTTCTCCCCTCACCCGCCTCCCGGCTGCCCGATCTTATTCCTTCTGTGTAACCCAACACCTCCTCGTGGAGGAACACAATTCCGGGCCGGCCAGCTCCTGCACCTTCCCACGGTCGTTGGGTTCTTCGCAGGACTTTTACGAGAGTCGTGTCCGGAAGAAGGAAAACTCTTATCTGCTTTGTCCGGCGGAAGATTTCGCGATGGGATAAGAAGAAAATGAAACGACGGGCCACGTGGCACCTGAAAAACGCAACACTTGTCTCAATGGGAGCTTTTTGTGAGTCAGGTCTTACCTCGTCACCCCCGAACAGCTGACTGAAGCTAATATGGAAATAAATGGGTCTGGGTAAAAGTCGGATCTAAATGGATCCTCGTGAATTCATATGATTTTTACACTGAAACGAAACGAAACCACCATCATACCTCAAATCCCACCTCTCGCGCCGCTCGGCCATCAAGCACGAGCGGTCATTCTGGCTCCCCCAGGTCTTGTTAGGGGCTCTTTAAAAAGTTATGGCTGCCTGCGATGGCAGCAGCGCTAATGGCACCGGCAACGGCGGCGGAGGGAAGGGGCGTGAAATGTTCCCCCGCCTCTCTGAGCCCCGGGGGGGTGGCCTTGGAGTCCTGCGGGCAAATTCCACGCTAGAGGTCATTCTGGCTCCTCCGGGACTTGTTAGGGGCTCTTTAAAAAGTTATGGCTGCCCGGGACAGCAGCAGCGCTAATGGCAGCAGCAAGGGGGGGTAGGGGTGTGAAATGTTCCCTGCCTCTCTGAGCCCCGGGGTTGTGGCCTTGGAATCCTACGGGCAGTGTGATGGCTGCTTGGCCATCACAAGCGAGAGGCCATTCTGGCTCCCCCAGGTCTTGTTAGGGGCTCTTTAAAAAGTTATGGCAGCAGCGCTAATGGCAGTGGCAGCGGGGGAGGGGCATGAAATGTTCCCCTCTCTCTGAGCCCCGGGGTTGTGGCCTTAGAGTCCTATGGGCAAATTCCACCTCTGGCGTGTGATGGCCGCTCGGCCATCACACTCGAGAGGTCATTCTGGCTCCCCCAGGTCTTGTTAGGGGTTCTTTAAAAAGTTATGGCTGCCGGCAGCAGCACTAATGGCAGCAGCAACAGCAGGGGGAGGGGCGCGAAATGTTCCCCCGCCTCTCTGAGCCCCGGGGTGGTGGCCTTGGAGTCCTGCGGGCAAATTCCACCTCTGGCGTGTGATGGCCCAGTGGTGAGATGGCCTGTACTACTTCAGACTGCAGGTGGAGGATGGTATTTGGGAATGCGGCCCCAATATAATTGTAAGCCAGCTCAGCAAGCAGAGAAGAGAAGAAACTTTTACTCCACTGTCTGTTTCCAGTGAGTTAATTTGTATGCAAAAGAATGCTGAAAGCTGAACCCCCCCCCACTTTGCAGACTGAAGTAGTGGTGTCCGTTCTACCAGGACTGCCACCTTATTCCCAACTCATTTGTCTGCATGTGTGAATGAGGTATTTAAGTTCGCAAGGCATGTCTGGGAATGGCAAACCCAGATGCCATGGAATGCCTCAGTGCAGTCCTACCCACTGAATGTGTTCATTGTGCACAGTGGGGAATACCCTAACCCTGTCACACCTCACCTGCACATTTATGAATCATGCTGAAACATTCACAGCTGGGAATGGCCTGGTCAAACATCCCCACCGTCACCTCCCCAGGCTGGTTCTCCTGCTCAGCAAACACAAACGTTCCGGCTTTGTTTGAACAGACTTGCTCAGCCTGAGACAGCAGCCTTGGTGGGTATGAACTGATTAATTAACTCCGGACCACTTTAATATTAGAATAATACTGAGGGTCAGTCTTGTACAGGGAAGAAAAATCTGTTGTTTAAATCTCAGGGGATTTTTATTCTCTCTTTTAAAAAAAAAAAGTGAGAAAACATTGCAGGGATTCAAAGTAGGAGGAAATCTGCCTCAGTTTCCAGTTTAGTAATAAACAGAAAAATCTAGATATCTCAGATGGAAGAAACTGATAGATGGTATGATTGCCAACCTCCAGGTGGGGCCTGGAGATCTCCCATAATTACAAATGATCACCAGACTACAGAAATTCTCTAGTTCCCCTGGAGAAAATGGCTGCTTTGGAGGGTGGATGCTATGGAATTATACCCTGCTGAGGATACACCAACTCGGAGTTTAACAGCTGCTGTCTTTTATACAGTTTATAACTCCAGTACCCGGCCTTACGTTTTATGGCACACATGGCCCGGCCCGACAAAGTGACATTTATGTCAGATATGCCTTGTAGTGAATGAGTTCGACACCTCTGGGTTATACTGTACACTCCACATCCTATACTCCACTCTTCAAAGTGTAACTGGACATGGATGGCACAGTGGCAGAGATCCTTCTCTATGTGTGAGAGATACCAGACACAACCGTCCCTTGTCTGATAAGTACACAATTTTTTTCCAGTGCTAGACAACAAAGCAAAGTGTGATCCATTATTAAGCCTGAAGGTGGGTGCCTATGACTACTAACTAATCAGTAGTTTACTGGTCCAGCCAGAAAAAAACATGTTTTGTAAAACAGGGAACACTGGAGAATGAAAAGCCAATAATTCCAGATTCTGACATTCCATGACTGTAATGAGATTCACTCCTAGTCCTACCTGATCGTTCAGACTCTCAGTATTCTGCCCTGACTCCACCCAGACTGTTCCATCCTGGCTGTATCACCTGGCCCATTCCAGGGGAGCAAGTATGAACACAATTTAAAAAGTATGAAACCCTATGAGAGGCCTGAGAAGACAAGGGGGCATGAGCAACAGCCTCACAGAATACAGTCCTTGTTGGTTTGTACCATCTCAGAGTGAAGACAGGAATGCTGGCAGGCCTCTAGGGGAAAAAAACCCCAACCCTTCCTGCACATACAAAATGTGCATTGCATCAATAAGACACTTATCGCTTGATCTTCCCCTGGCAGGTGGATTTTCAGTGTGCAGGGATATTTTTTAACACAAGGGAGGCTTAAGAACATAAGAGAAGCCAATGTTGGATCAGGCCAATGGCCCATCCAGTCCAACACTCTGTCATACAGTGGCCAAAAATACCAGGTGCCATCAGAAGGTCCATCAGTGGGGCCAGGACACTAGATGCCCTCCCACTGTCCCCCCCAGCACCAAGAATACGGTGCATCACTTGCCCCAGACTGAGAGTTCCTATCTATACCTTGTGGCTAATAGCCACTGATGCACCTCTGCTCCCAATGCTCTATAAGATCTCTTAGCCTTTATCATCTGCTCTAGCCTGACAATTGCCTTTTATGTTTAATGGCTCATTTTATGATCTGCCTGGTTTTTAATGACTGTTTTTGTGCTCTGGTTTCATAGAATTGTAGAATCATAGAGCTGCAAGAGGCCATCTAGTCTAAAACCCTGTTCAGTGAAGGATCAGCTTAAAACCAGCTGCTGCTTGAAAACTTCCAGTGAGGGGGAGCTCACCACCTCCCAAGGCAGCTAATTCCACTGCTGAACTACTTTTACTGTAAAAAAAGAATGTTTCCTAACCTAATCCAGCTGGTACCTTTCCACCTATACTTTAAACCCCTTATTGTGAGTCCTATCCTCCGCTGCCAACAGAAACAGCTCCCTGCCCTCCTCTGAATGGCAGCCCTTCAAATACTTCAAGAGAGCAGTCATGTCCCCACTCAGCCTCCTCTTCTCCACAGTGAACATTCCTCAGCCTTTCCTCATAGGGCTTGGTCTCCAGGCCCCTGATAATCTTTTCTGCACCACATCCTTTTTGAAGTGAGGCCTCCTGCACACAGCACTCCAGGTGTGGCCTGAGCAATATGGAATACAGCGGGACTCTGACATCTTGCGATTTGGATGTTATGCCTCTATTGATTCACCCCAAGACCACATTAGCCTTTTTGCCAGTGCTTCACACTGACTGCTCATATTTAGCTTACAGTCCACCCGTACCTGCAAGATCTTGTTCACACACTGCTAACCAGAAGTATGTCCCCCATCCAGTATGCATGCCTCCCCGTTTCTAACCCAGATGTAGAACTCTGCAGTTATCCTTGTTGAACTGCATCTTATTCACATCTGCCCACTTTCCCAATGTGTCCAGATCTCATTAACTTCTATCTCTGTCTTCCGGTGTGTTCTGTACTCCTCCCAATTTGGTGTTGTCGGCAAATTTAGTTTGTCGTTCCTGCACCCCCCTCATTGAGATCATTTATAAAATAATATTGATACCTCCCACTGGATACCTCCTTCCAATCTGATGAAATGCCTTTGACAGCTACTCTTTTTGTGAGGTTCTCCAACCAGTTCCCTGCCCATCCAGTTATTCTAGAGTCCAGACTGCAGTCATCCAGTTACCCATCAGAACAGCATGAGGAACCCTTCAAAAGCTTTACTGAAATCCAGGTAAACAGCACTTACGTTTAATGTTTGTTTACGGGCTTCTTTTTGTGTTCTGGCTTGATTTTAGTGGCTGTGTGTTTCACTGTATTGCTTTCACAGTGAGCTGTCTCGAGCAGATCTTGCCCCCCATCCCCGACTGGTGGCCGCGGGGGGGGGGGCAGCTGGGGACCCT